CAAAGAATTTACATCTTTCATCATCTCCCTTACCTAATATTTTGAAAAGATTCAGCGAATCCAGAGAAATCTCTGTCCATAGAGGGCCAGGCCTGATACCACTGTTAAATGGCATGAACTTCAGACGGCAATGCATGAGAAACTGTCAAACTACTGTGTTCAGTATAGCCATATGGGCTCGAGAATACTTTGGAAAACCATTGTCACTTAACACAGTCTGCCACTGCATCAAGAAATACAACTTGAAACTCTATTATGCAAGGAGAGCCACACAACAATACTATGCAGAAACACCACAAGTTCTCTGGGTGCAAGCTCATTTGAGATGGTCCAAAAGACAATGGAAATGTGTGCTGTGGTCAGGTGGGTCCACGTTTCAGCTTTTTGGGAAAAACGGAAATTGAGTTCTCTGTGCTAAAGACGAAAGGGACCATCCAGACTTTTATCAGCGAAAGGTGCGAAATCTGTCATGGAATGAGGGAGCATCAGCGCCCACGGCTTGAGTGAGTTGCATATGTGTGAAAGTACCATTGACGCAGAGGCGTATATTGGGATTTTAGAGAAACATAAGCTGCCAACAAGATGACATTTTCCTTGGAAGTCCATGGTTATTTCATTCTGCACGTGCTACAACAGTGTGGCTTCATAGACACAGAGTGCGTGTGCTTGACTGGCGTGCCTGCAGTCCAGAGTATGGCACATCATGAAGAGGAGAATCAGACAACGACAACCACGGACTGCTGAGCAGCTGAAGTCTTGTTTCAAGCAAGAATGGGCAAAAGTTCCGCTTGCAAATCTGTTGCAATTAGTGTCTTCAATTCCCAAATGATTAAAAAGTGTAATTAAAAGGAAAGGTGTTGTAACACAGTGGTAAACATGCTTCTCTCTCAACATTTTTGAGTGTGCTGCAGGCATCATATTCTAAATTTGTCTATATTTACAAAATAGAATTAAATTGTTCAGTGAAAACATCTTTTCTTTGTACTTACATCAGTTAAGTAAAGGTTCAAGAGAACTGACATTTTTCTCATGAAGTTTGGCAAAAAGTGGTGAGCCATGACCCATCTTTACTTGCAAAAACTGAGCTTTTGGTGGATGTTCCTCTTATATCCAATCATGATACCCCGTCCTGTTATAAATTCACCTGCTTATAGTGAAATGTTTCAGAACAGTGTACCTTAAATGTACCTTAAATATTCTATAAACTTTTCACTGTTATTTTTCCCCATGCCACTTATTTAAATGTGTTGCAGGCATCAAATTCAAAATTTGTTTAAATATACAAAATACAGAGATTCGAAATAATTGTTTTTATTGCATTTTGCAAAATGTCCCAGCATTCCTGGAAATGGGATTTGTAGGCAAAGACAGTAATCTGTATGTCAATACAAAACCCGTAAAATGTTAAATAAATCAAATAAGCAACAAAAAAATTTTGAACACAGCCTCATTCAACATGATCTGGAACAAAGATTAACAGTGAGATAACATTCATCACACTGTGTTTAAAACAAATACAAAATGGGTCACACCACTGATTGTTGCTAGGAGCTAGACATGTGTCGGTTCCAGTGATTCAGTATACTGCAATATTAAACGTGCAGTAATGATATCAAGGACACTTTGAAATACTGTTACCGCATTTTTGTAGAACATATTGCAGTTTCATCAGATATTTTTAGAGGTGCAGAACAGCTCTGCTTTCGCAAACTCCTACTGTGCTCACACTCTCTGATAATGTGATATAGTTCTTCCCCTGACCAGAGCTTGTAAACAATCAAAAACAGCCACAGCACAGTTAAAGAAAGAGCAGAAAGAGAAGTTGTTCTCTTGGTGGTACAGTACAGGCACTAGTAATAGGTTTCATACTTTATTTGATGTTGGAGGTAAAGGTCTCAGTGGCCTGTGGTAGGGTTCTCAACTCCAGTCCAAGTAACTCCAGCTCCAGCTCCACCATATTGCTATTAAAAAAAAAAAAATTAGAATGTATGACATTAAAACCTTTTAAATATAATTCTTTTATTTATCTTCTTAAATGTGTGATAATATAATTTTATTATATGGGCACATGCCTGCTAGGAGCATAAAGTCACATATGGTTGCTCCATTTTTATAATTTCCCATTTTTCTACATACTTTGACAAGTCCAGTTTCCTTTTGCATTGTGTTAAAATTTGAACAGACCAACAGAAACTTAAAATTACCTGAGAAAAACTTTGTTACAGTATTTTCTATTACAGGTTAAGAATATTTATTCCTTCTCCCGTAAAGATACCATTTTTGAATATATGAAGTTTTGTTCCAACGGTGACAATATGTTACTGAATAAGCCTTACACCTGTATGTTTTATGCTAATGAGTGTTCTTTTGCCCAGCCTCATCAAATTAGCATGCGCAATTAGAGGTAGGCAACATTTGACTGTTACCATGATAAATTATTGTGATTGACCATATGTTTCTCTGAGCATATCATGAATATCATCAATATATACTTTACAAACACTGATTAAGTGCATGCTTCATTAAAAAGAGAACATAGTTAGTCTTGTTTCATTAGATTTAGTGCAGTGTAGCCATCCCTTTGCAAAATGTACTTACCTCTAGTCAGAATACATCAATATAATGTTAGCTTATTTAAAGATTTGAAGGTACTGAAAGTTAGAATATTGAATTATTTACCCTGCTGTAGTGTTGAAACAGGACTTGACTTTTGATACATTGTGCAACCCTACTGTGCATAAAATTTCACCATTCTAGAAAGGTTTCATTTTTTAGCTGTTGTCAAGTTATCATGAAAGATGTCACAGACACCTTAACTGAGTGAAAGAATCTCCTCATGCTATCTAAAATATCACACTGTCCAGGCTGTGAGCTGAGCTTGTCTGTGGCTTCAAGCTGAGCCTGTCTGTGGCTCTCTGAGCTCTACTGAAGTCCAGCAGTGATGCTGCTAATCTGCCTAAGAAGGCTGTGCGGAGTGTTCGGGCTGCGAATAGCAAAACTACATTAGACACACACACTCTGCTCCACACATTGCATTACAGAGGCCTCTGCAATACAAGACATGCTAAATATAGGGGTTCCTCTGTCAGTTAACATAATGGCATGTAATGTGCTTTAAAGGGTTCTTAGGAGAGTCATAAAATCTTACAGTATCATGACAGCTTTGCAAAATTGTGATGAGATGAAAGAATTCCAGCCTGGATTCTAACATTTAAACCTTACTTAATCCCAGTGATAATGTTAATGAGCCTGAGGACTGTATGAGTAGGTACATTGGTAATATTCAGTGTACATCAAAGTATAATGATAGCTTTCATTTGCCCATATTCTACACATAAGCAGGTGAATGTTGGTATGCAAAACCGATGATACTATGGCAATATTTCTGTGTGCTATGGCAATGTTTCAGTGCTCTGACTCATGCTTGTGTTTGCTTATCATTGCAGAGATGGGGAACACATTGGCAGAACATTTTCCACTCACTTTGTGCTGTCTGAGTGTAAAACCGTCATACAGTCAGCAGGAGTGCATGTCAAAAGCCGTCTGATGATTGCATTTGGCTGGAGATATGTCCAATTTACATGCATTAAAAAAGAAGCCTTGAAATAGCTTCATCACTGTGACTCCATAAAAGCATTGATTTCATCTGCATGCCATACCAGGGCACTAAAAAGCATTTAAGAAATGAACACATCAGAATACCAAGAACATGACTGCTATAGATTATCAAAGGTTTGAGATGCTAGCCTGACAGAGAATGACTTCATTCATGAGTTCATTGTACTAAGGAATTCAAGGTGCTTTTCGTTTTGACGAACGAAAAAGCCTTTAATTGGCTGAGGAGTTTGATTAAGGTTGCGCAAATGGGTGAGTTGACTTCGTGCCAATCATAGAGTAATTTATTTCCATGAAGCAGGCCTCTAAATGAAATGCCAGAGCACCGTTCCCCTTTATGAGGAATGCTTATTCCCAATGTCACACTCTACGGCATGAAGGGGTTTCTGGCAACCCTTTCATGTACTGTAAATTTTTACGACAGCGTATTTCTCGAAAGTCTACAGCTCTAGCAGAAGGCACATAAATTCACAGAATGGCTTGTATTTATCATTGGAGTAGGACAAGTAAACTGTAATCTGTGCTGGACACTGTTTTATATCTTCACACATGCAGATGATGCTAACATAAACCTTGCTCTTACTCAAGGAGACACTTTTTTGTATTATTTTATGTTTGAATATTTCTTGTAATACCATTTGACTTAAACTGCATTGACCACAGAAGCTGTAGACATTCATAGTCATTATACATTTATGAGGTTGACTAAGAGCCAGTCCAATCAGCCTGCATTTACACTACTTATTTACATTCAGAACAGCCAGCAAAACATTGCAAGGTGAATAATTAGCGATAATGCTTTCATGTGACTCTGACGACTCTGATGAATAGCAAGTGCATGACAAACAGTGCTAGCCTATTCTTAGTGGGTGCATAAGGGAATATGCAGATGAAATATCAAAAGTTCTGCCTGGGGGCCTAAGAGATATTTTAAGCGGTTGTACGTTATCTTCTTTTTTTTTCTTTTGTAATATCTCCTAAGAGACTCATTGTTCTCCTCTAACTGCCTCCTTTTCTTTTCTCTTTGATTCATCTGCCTCACGTTTCACCAGGAAGTGGAGGTCAGTAACGCTGTCTAAATCTGTCTCATGCCCTTGCCTTTCTTTGATGTCTCTCTTAAGATGAGGAATTCAAAGCTCTCTAACTCTCTTACCATCTCTTTAACTCCTAGAATTTCAAATGAATAGCCATCTTTTAACCCTTTGCTTTTGTTCCCTGCTTTTTAAGTTTTTGCAGTCTGCTTGTTTTCCTGTCTGTCATTTTCTGCCTTGCAAACCCATGACGATTTAATTATTTGGAATCCAGATCACAACATAAGCTCAGTTCATCAGTCTCCAAGTTAATGTCAACAGTATATTTAACAAAAACCTCTCTCTCTCCTTCAGGATGATTACATCAGATCATGGGATGAAAGTCAAGGCTCGAATGAAAGTAAGTCTCTCATACGTTAATAATAACCACTAATCGTTGAACTGTGTTCACTCACAGGCAGGTCTAAACTGAGTGTGGCATTCTTTGGAAGGAGCAGATCAGAAAACAGTCACAATCAGTTCTCAGCTAGAGAATTATCTTATGCTTTCTACCTACAGCATGCTGAATGGTGTCCCATGCTGCTTTAAAAAGGAACAGTTATGCAGTGGGCTGAACGGCTAGAGTCTGATGATGTGCACTCATGATGGCTTATGTCCTTCCGCTCAAAGTGGTCTGTGCTAGCTGTCCTTATCACTGTGGACAACCTTTTTCCTCAAAGCAGCTGCCAGGCTAGATGTAAGATGTTACTAGATCTAATTGCTTATAGCTAAGATGAGGTCATCTCCTCTGTGTTCTGGAACAGAGCGATGGCCAGGCACATTTGAACACAGTGTCTTGATTTGCAGTTCAAATGAAGTCCACAGAATAGAGAAGTCCATTAGCAAATATCTCAGAATGTAATTAATGGGTAATTGCCAGTTCCACTGAAGGCCCAATAAGAGCCCTGGGGGCTTGATTTAGTACTGAGTGACATTGGCTTTGTTCCCACAAAGCATGAATCCACTTAAGCCGCAGACATTGGAGTGCAGAGGTCTATGAATTTGATGATTCATTTTTAAGTTCAACACTCAAAGTCTCCTGAAGAATCATCAACCCTCTTACTACTAACCATTCGACAGGAATTAATTATAAGTGCTTTTATTGCCTGTGATGGCATTTGTGAATTATTGTCTGTACTGTTTGAATCAAAAGAGTCCAGACAGACACATATATTGCCCATTTATGACTGCATGAGAACTAAATGTCTCATAGATTTGCCAAGATGCATTTTCTCATGCCTTTTGGAGTTTTGCTTAAAATGCCATAAGAAATCATCATATTTCTAAAATGGTAACTTTATAAGAGAAGAAAAAATCTTTGCTTACTTAACATAACTGTAAAAAAACTTTGCTGCTGCATTTGTAATGAAGTGCTTATACATTGTACACAAGGGCAGATGAAGTTTTCAAATAGTGTGGAAAAAATAAAAACAAAGTGGAGTTAGGAGGTTTTCTTAAAGATTGACCCAATAGACAGAGGTATCATAGAAGTTAAAGCAGGAGAAAAAGCAGTTTAACCCCTTAAAATCACAGGCTTATTATGTATTAAGGCTTATTATTCAGGAACTAGGATTTCAATGCAAACTGGCTGAGCTATTCCTAGGTTGTGGAAGTGTGTAATAAACTTCAGGCCTGCCAGTGAGCCCTGGCCATTCAAGGGGTTAAAGCTGTTTATCATTAGGTAGCTAAGAGTTAATTAGAAAAGACATACAAAGATATTAACACACAAAACTGTGTTCTGAAAGTAAAAGTTCTATTAATTATATGTGTTAAGCAGAGAGCAATTTCTGGAACTTTCTCTTTTTCTTTATTTGCCCTCTGACCTCAATTAATGGTATCTGTTCAGATGACCTCCTTCTTTCTGAGTTTAATAAGGCTGGAGAAGAAAGAATACTTGAAAGAATTTTCCCAGCCTCACCTAACTCAAGCAGTGTGATGTCTCTGCTTGAAAGTCAAACATCTGTAGAGTGCCCTACAGGGCTTTTTATTCCAGGCTTAAAGGGACAAATGAAAAGCTGCTCACTGATCTTAGAGGGAGCGGTGACTCCTTTTATTCTGAATGTTCAGCTAAGAAAATGTACCTGAAAAGAATGGGTACTTTATCCCACATTAAGTGAAATAAAACCATCACACCAAACTGTTACAGGTGTGAAGAACCACCGATGTAGCACCACAAAAATACAGCGTAATTAGATTGAAATGGTCATATTACCTGCTCCTATTAATATATAAGATCAACATAAAGGGCTTGTAACACTGCCAATAAGCAGATCAGAATCTGTGTCCAGCATTATGTTCTGTCACATTGTTCAAGCAGTAGCACTGTGGATAATTAATGTGTCTGAAAATGGCTGAAGGCCTAATTTAAAACAGTGTCTCCCTAGCAGATCCACTGATCAATGTCCTTCATAATGAAGAAACAATCAGTAACATGACCAGTTCCCTTTCATCTTCTTGAATGTCATCATCATGGCTTTTAGTAAGGGCATAAAAAATCATCAGTTAGGGCTGTTCTCTGTAACAGTTAACAGACTTGCTGTGGTAACAGCTCCCAGTGATGGTAATAACTTGTTTACTAGTTTTTTATTACCAGTCTAATAAAAGAACTTGCTCATTTATTGATTTATTTTATGCAAACCATAGGATAATGCTAGTATTCCCACATGTTAACATAACTAAATATGTTGGTATGGGATGACCTACATTAATACCACTTTTATTGTACTTAACATATATTGATGAGAGATTGATGTAGAAATGCAGCTGTTGAGCTGCTCTGGTTAAACTCGCTCTGTGCTCGAGGAAGCCACCTAAATGGTACAGTGTACATCCTTAAAGCACAGCATCAGAAGTTTCAAACATCAGACAAAACAGCTTCAGGTCTTGGAAAAACCCATGACTCAGCTCTCAAACATCTAATGGCCTCAGGCGAAGTCGCTTCAGAGAAGAAGGTTTTAGGCTAAGCTAAGAGGCTACAACCACACAGTCAATAAAGTAAACGTAACTTACACAGTTCCGTTCTTTCTTACTAGATTAATTTCAGTTTCATTTCCAAATTAAAGATGATAGTATAATACCACCACAACTTATTGAATTGTGTTCTTTGTTATGTTACATATTGTTATGTTCTTTTATTTGACAAAAGTTTGAACACATGCGTTATCACTGTGTTGGCTCATGCATCCGTTCCAGCGTTTGGAAAAAAATTGTCTCAAAATTAGAAGACAAAAGATTTTTACTATTAATATTATTGTTGTTGTTATCTTTATTAATATTCATGTGATAAAATAAAAATACATAAAAGAGACAGCAAAGAGAAAAAATACCCCCACTCACCCAACACGGTTTAACCATTTACTGTGATCATTTTTCATGTGGTTACCCAAATAATAGAGCTCTGTAACAATGCCCACACTGACACATCAGTCTGAAGGTAGAGATATAAGTGGATTTGATTAAAATTAAGATTAGATTAAGTGACCCTTATTAGTGCCACAACCGAGAAAATTTCACCTCCGCATTTAACCAATCCATGCAGTGAAACACCACATACACCCTAGTGAACACACACACACTAGGGGGTGAGCAAACTTGCCCGGAGCGGTAGGCAGCCCTCTCTGCAGTGCCCAGCGAGCAGTTGGGGATTAGGTGCTTTGCTCAAGGGCACTTCAGTCACATACGGTCAGCTCAAGGAATTGAACCGGTGACCTTCCAGTCACAGGGCTGGTTCCCTAACCTCCAGCCCATGACAACTCCAAAAATCTCACACCCTAAGCGAGAAATTGATTTTGGAATCAGTTTTCGCCTATAATAATACTCAATGAATATGCACTGTTTTTTTTTATTTCTAAAAAGAAAATTATTGGGCTATTTTCTAATAATCCTAAAACATATTGCTTTCATCAGCTGTTTTCCTTTCCTTGTAGTCCTTGTAGTTACTTATCAATTTGTATCAACATAACCAAATCAAACTGAATCAGGGTTACATCTGATATTTCATGGTGTATTGAATCATTTCCAAAAAACTGAAATCAAATCATATTTTTGAGGTCAGAGGCTTTTAGTCTTTGCAGATATAGTTTTTCATGCGCTGTTCCGAGTTACTCTGACATGTGAGTGCTAAAGCCACTTTGCGTCAGCCTGTCTGCCCCGCTTACTGGTCGCATTAGCTCAGAGTTAGGGCTCCTTACTTGCAGTGTGAGACGCTGATGATCATATTAAACGCTGCTGCATGTGTAAACAAAGGATGAGTTGCGATGATGAGGCCAGGAAGCAGAGGCAGTGTTGATGCTAAAGTTGCTGGGATTTTCTCCTTCTCCCTAAGCTGGATTTGGCTCCGCTTGGATATGGAAAGTCTAATTACATGTTTTATAAGGTTAAGCTCTTTGGTAACACTTTATAAGAGATATCTAGAGAGTGAGAATTGCAGGCGTATGTGTGTGGAGTGAAATTTGTGGTGCTTATCACAGTCCAGTCCTACAGTGCTCTATAGTGGGTCTGTTGCTATAGCAACATCATCATTCTTGTGTTTTCTTTAATCTGCGTGACACCATAGTGATAAAATAAGACTTATAGATTCACTCAGTGCCACTGTACTATGAACATCATAATACATGCATAATAGTCTGAAGGAAAATGCAAATATTCCTCATTCAGGAAAGATTATTATGTTTGCTGATGCCAGTGTAGCCCCAGGTGCTGAGCAAATGACATGACAAGCATGTGACTTAAGCACAGGTTTAATTAGCGCTGAAAGAGGGAGCATACTAATGCTGGCGACGACATCTCAGTAAAGTAATTACTGCCTCCATCTTGCTCATTTGTCACTAACAATTAGCAGAATCACAGCATCCAGCTATTATGAGTAGCAGCAATTTCTTCAATTTTGAAACATTTAAAAATAATTAACTTGTGAATCTTTGTTTAGAGGTGACAGATAGTAGCCTAAACTGTGACTGTGTTTGCATCTGATCTGTAGATTTGAACTATGCTAAGAAAGGACAGTCTGGTGAGTTGGTGAGGAATTAAGAAAATCTCTGCTTTTTATTAGACATTAGATGTCCAGCAGATTGGGTTTATCACTGTTCTTCATGCTGAGAGGTGAGAGGGTGTTATACAGCTTACTGATGGTCCTCTGTCCCTCTACAGATGTGGACACCACTAAGGACCCCTGCCAGAAGGTGAAGTGCAGCCGGCACAAGACATGTGTTGCCCAGGGCTACCAGCGTGCTGTGTGTGTCAACCGCAAGAAGTTGGAATACAGGTGGGCCGAACCCAGAGGGAAATAACTCCTTCTGTTCCTTCTTGCTCTTTCTGCCTTTTTATCTGCTCTTTCTCTTTGTCTTTCTCTCTTTTCTCTCTCTTCTCCTTTCTCTCCTCCTTTCTCTCTCTTTTCTCTTGTTCTTCTGTTCTTCCTCCTTCTTGCTTTGTCTCTCTTTTCTCTAGTGGTCTTTCCATTTAGACATTTCATAAATTTTGAGTAAATTTTCAAAAAGTTGGTAAAAGAAAAAGCAAAATACTCATCTACTTTTCATCATCTACTTTTTTTGCACAAATTTCAAAAAATGACGTAACTCGCTTGTGCTGTATGGTACGAGACAAGAGTCTTGCTCACAGTGCGTGGCTTATACGGCTTGGGAATGTGATATTATGAAGTAGTGTCTTATGGGTGATCCGCCGTCTTGGCCAAGTTAGTTAGTCTAGGCTGGTTTTAAATACTTCAACAAGTCTTAATTTCCTACCTGCTTTCCATGATTTTGCCTAATCTGTAGCCCATGGCTGACAAACTATGTTGGCAGAACTCTTCTACGTGGCTAGCAGGTTGGACAAAATCACTGAAAGCAGATAAGGATGGAGTTTCATTCAACTATGCAGACGCAGCTCTAGTCAAATAATACAGGAAGGCCCAATCACGTTTCTTATTTTTACCCCTACCCCTTGTTTTCGAGGGTCATCTCGCTCCTTGGAACTGAGTTACCTAGGGTAGTGGTTGAAATCATCCCCTATGAAATGGAATAACCATCAAATAAAAAAGAGCATTACTTCATTAACAGGCTACTAGCAATGCTCTATAGGCGACCCTGCTAATCTGTGTGATAGCAGAAGAGAAGTTCAACAACCTCACTGCTGGTCTTCAGTTAAATTTAGGGCATCATATGTCTTCAAAGAGGGCGGATGTGAGAATTATTTATTATTTATTATTTATTATTTATCGCCCACCCCTAATTCTTCAGTGCTACTCGCCAGGTTCTTGTTCGAATTTTCCCATTCCACCTTAAATGGTGTAGCAGTCACATTCTAGTGTTTCAGGTGTCAGAACTGCTGCATCATTTTAGGTGGAATGGGAAATTTAGCTAGCTAGCTATGGAGACAGCATACTATTAGTGATTTTCTATGCTTGTAATGAAAAAAGGACCATAATACATTAAAAAGACATTAAACTAAGATGATACAATGGTTATCATATTTTTTTATCAGAGAAAATACTCACATTTGTGGGTTTCTATGGTCGCTTGCACAGCCATCTTGCCGGTTTTTCTTTTTTTCTTATAAGACTCCGTTTGGAGTGAGCCTCTGAAAAACCTCCATTTGGAGGGCCATGTAGCTCTAACACTTCGTCCTACTCCTCTATCTCAACAAAAATAGGGACACCCTACCGCTAGGCATGAACGCACAAAACAGAGGGGTAAGGGCTGAGTGGTAGGGGCAAGGGGTGAAATGGAATTGGGCTGTAGAAATGAGAGTACTCATATTAAGGTCAAGCTCTATTTATACTCTAATCATATAGATTCAATGGTATAAAACTTTCAACATAATTTAAAGTGAATTTATCATGTTTTGAATTGGTAACTAGCTCTTCGTAGACTCACTTGGTGTCTTGTCTAAAAAAATACAAGGAGAACCAAGTTATGATGGGACTAGGCTACTAACATCAGCTGAGGTGAAAAGAAATAATATTTGTCTGTTTATCTGAAAGACTTTAGGTTGACTGCCCATTCAGTGAAGGTTCCAGTAAAATGTAACATAAAATGGGTTTATCGGATTTAATATGGTACAGAACAGTAATAATATCAGTGGTTCACCAGCAGACTAGCAGTGTTCACTAAAAGGCTACCAACAGTGGAATATATCAGTAATTGCATGAAATATATAAGTGGCTGAGTTAAATATGCCAGTGGCCGAATGATTTACGCCATTAATTGAGTGAGATATGCTAGTAGCTGAGTAAAATACGCCAGTAACTGAGTGAAATGTGCCAGAGGCTGAGTGGAAAATCTATTGGTAAACTACATGAATTTTAAACTTAATTTTAAACTTATACTTAAATTTTAAATTACTCTAAAGAATGGGCACTTAAGTTGGGAATGAAATAGGAGGTAGCATCTGTAGCATGTAAACAAAAGAACTAACCCTGAAAAAAAGGTGAAATGATCTTATAATTCAATGTCAATTCCCAAACCCTGTACAATGGACAGACTTGAACCTTTATTAGCTCTCAGTAGGGCAGTTTTAAGCATTTGTAGCCATAACAGTTCAGAGTCAACAGTCAGACACATTGCGGCCCATTTAATGAGGACTGAAGTGGCTGTCCCACTTCGCCGTCGCCCACTGAATCTCTGCGAACACCACCAGGCCAAACATTTCTGAGAGGACATAGTGCCAAACATGTGACTTTCATTCATTCGTGTTTCTCCTTTATCGTTAACCCAACTTTTCCGCCTAATCTGAGCATAAACACTTGTCTCTGGAATATTTAGCCATTTTTGAATTTCTGGCATTTCCACTGAGGCTCTTTTGTGAACATTTTTAAAATTTACAGAAAGGTGGTGGATAGAAACCCCTTTACAGTGCTCGCTGTTTCTCTGTCTCTCTTTTGCTCTCTCTTTCTCTCTCTCTCTCTGTTCACCTCAGAGTCCATGCATAAAAAAAGATCTTGTTCTGTCTTGAGGGAGCAAGCACAGATTTGTCATATATATATTGTATGGGCTAGATATTATCCTTTAAAATGTCAAAAAACAGTTACTGATTCAAGCAGGAGAAGATCCAGCACCAGTCATTTCCATAAACATAACGTTCAAAGAAAATCGCACTGACAGGGATGAGTTGAGGGCTGTTATTATCTACAAAATGATCCTGTTTTATGCAAGTGGAATGTTCTATTGTAAACACATTTACTCCCCGAGGCTTCTCTCTGCTTTAGAAGTTGCATTTTTCAGCTCCCTCAGGCAAGGTTACACATTGTTAGACAACTCATTACAGAACATATACCCATACAACACCCAGCGCAATTAGACCACTAACTGTAGGATGCCCTGATTGCTCATGCACATCAAAAATGTCTTCTACATTTAATGCGTGCACACACATTTTGCAAAATGAAACCCTGGCTTTAGTAGCTATGTCCATGCTTCTCAAAGTTAGGTAATCACATTGAAATGTCAGGTATATTCAACATATGAATTGTTCTAGCACGCATGATTCTTACACTACACTGATGCCGGAAAATAACAGTGAGAATGGGATTCTGAGTTGCATTCTGTGTGGTTCAGTTGGCCTGCTACTTTGATTCCCTTTTGGACGCCAGGGATGCAGGCCCTGTACTGAAGGGCTCTAGATTCATATATCTTTCCTATGATGACTACGGTGTCCTTGAGCACAGCACGTATCCTCAAGGCATGTTGCTCCCATTCCCCCCAGCTCAGTGCAGACTGGCCTTACTGTGTATAAATAAAGGTTAAAGTAAACCCTGATGTGTGAACTGAAATTACAGTGTGGACAAAAAGAGACATTGTGTTTAAAAACATGTTTACATCATAAATTGCAAAGATGTTCAAAAGCCACAACAGTGCAACTAAAACAAAAAATACAATTGCACTAAATTTTCAGTCAATACCATGTTTATGTGTCTAAGCAGAAGAGGAGATATTTTATTATGATTTAAATGTGATGAAAATAGAAGTTGTGTACAGTCTTTGTGAAAAAAAGCCATCCTTTACATTTAAGACTGTCACAATTATTTCATAATTGCCTGATCAGTCATTTAAGCTGACCATATTTTTTTTCATTTAACTTTCAAAATCGTAAGTTTACATTGCAATAGAGATAATGTGAATTGGGTGTTCTTTCATCTGTTTGGTTGAGGCAAGTATATGTAAGTAAAAGAGAGCAGAAAATGCATTTGTTGGGACACGTCAGACATACAAAAACAACAATAGTTCTAACTTCTGACTGGTGCTGTCACACACTTAGAGAGCAGCGGTGAGTAATGTTTGTCCATTTGAGCTCATCAGTCAGGAGATACTATTCAGTTCAATTCACTACAAATAACGTTTTTTCACAACAGCCCTTGAAACAAAGCAGCTTTACAGAAATTGAGTCGAAGCCCCACGTGAGCAAGTCAAGGGTGACAGTGGCAAGGAAAAATGCCCCAAGAGCAAAAAAAAGAGCCCTTGAGAAATACCAAGACTCAAAACCCATTCTTCTGGCCAACACTGGATAGCAAAACAATAACACAACCAGGCGATATGAATAAAAAATGAAGAATTGACTAACGAATATATAGTGAGAAGTCCATGAAATCAGTGTCTACTGTTAGACCACATGTTAGTATGAATATAGCTAATATGAAGATTTGGCCACTTTAGGCTTGTATGTTAATAGTTGCATAAAATGAACAAAAAAGACAAATAAATTGTTAATCACAATCAATTAATTATATATGCAGTGATTAACTGTCAGCTAAATTTTCATTATTGTTACAGGCTTATTTACACTTTTTGCAATATTTTTGCCATTTCTTGACATAAAAATGACTGGACAAAAGTCAGAAGTGCAGAGCTGAACCTGTGATACAGAGTGTAGATCAAATATAAATATCATTCAGTGTGTTTTGTACCAAGTATTAAATATGGAATTGCATAATTACATTTGAATTGTATAGCAAACTGAAAGTAATAACTCTGGGCTTGTAAGGGTTAGTGTTGTACAATGAAAACAGGCATTGTCAGGAATATATACAGTACAGTAATACAGTAATATACACAGTAGATAACCTGCTCTTATGGGAAAGGTATATCTCCTGCTTGTCAGACAACAGACAGAACAGACTGGTTGAAAACAGGATTAATCACTTGGTTGTTGGGAGTGCTGCAGTAATGAGCATGTTTTTCACAGGCTGAAGCATCCAGTGTCAGGACAGCAGGAGAACAGCTGCAAGCCCTGCCCTGTGTCTTCTTCTGGACCTGTGTGTGGTTCTGATGGACATAATTATGCTTCCCAGGTACAGCATAGCTACCGAGTGCATTTCATTAGATGCACATTTTGTCTGACTCTTTTCTTATTATTTCATCAAATAATCATCTTATTATTTCAAAACTTGTCACAGTGTATAGTATACAAGTGTAGTTGTCACAAGCTGCAGAGTTAGGAAACTCTAAAATGAGTTTTGTAAATGTGTTGGTTTTCTGCTTTTCTCTTTGTGTGTGCTTTTCTGTGCCCTTTACTGGAGGAAATAATGATGGCCAAATGTTTTCTAGTTTCATATGTTTTCCTATTGCGGCTCACCTATGAATCAGCATGTACAGTGACACTGAGCCTCTTTGTTATTGGCCTGCTGCTAGAGGTTATCCATTTATAGTGGCCCCTGAGGTCCACAAAAGCGAAAGATAAATAGCCCAGAGGGATTCCCATCAAGGCATGGGCGAATGATCATCCTGTTCAGGCAGAGAGAGAGAGATAGAAGGCAGAAAGAAAGGAGATTTATGTATTGTCTGTTAGATCTTTTTCTGACCTTGTTAAGATGCTGAGATCTGGAAGTGAAATAAGACTTCAGAGTAGCTTCTTTTGAATGGTGATGTGTCACTGGAATGAGTCATCATCTTGCTTACGGTCACCTTTATAAATATTTGATCTGTATCTAGACTATAACTCACACCCCGCCACTCATAGGAATTGCGCATTATGCAGTGCCTCATGACAGTGGTCAGCTGTTGCTGCAGCACAGCCTACTCTATCTGTGTGTGCATGCTTGTTTTCATACATTTTTAGGACAAAAATGTCCTGAAAATATTGGAAAACCAGAGAAAACAGGGCTAACCTACAGTGATAGGATGAACAATATGGTCATGACTTTGCAAAGTTCTTTTTTACAAAAGCTACTTGTTTAATTTTTTAAACTAACAGGGTTAGACTTAAACATTCTGAAATTTGCAGAACTATGCCATATTTCAGTTTGTCCTTTGTAGAGGATGTGTTATTTTCACTTAGAAAATCAGTAAAACATGTCATTTGACCACGGGTATTCAAACTTTTGCATATGACTGTAACAAAGTAGGATGTGTGTATGTATGCATGTTCTGACTTTGTATATTAACAAGTGTGTGTACGTGTGTTTGCCTCAGTGTAAGCTCCAGCAGCAGGCGTGTCTCTTGGGGAAGGAGCTGAGTGTGAAGTGCACTGGTCCCTGCCCATGTTCCCCAACAGCTGCGCCGAGCACAGAGACAGACAGCAAACACGGTATGCAGCAGCCTCAGTCAACAACGACCTACAGCTACTACTACTACTACTATATCACTGCATTACTGTAACACATAAACACTTATAATTCATTCATTATTGTACCTGCAGGGATAGCTTTTTATTGCTGAGACTGCCAGCTGACTCTGCTGCAGGTCAGATGTTTGCAGGAGCGGCCCAACACAGTGCTGTTTCACTGAACTCACAGGACAGATTTACTTAATTGCTTCCCTAAAGCCTAATTTACATAAGTCATGGTGCGCAGGGACTCCTATCTAGTCCAAATGCATGTGGTTTACAAATGAAATTGACCTACTTTGCAAAAGAAATAAATGGAAAAATGCTGGAAATGTATAGGGATACATATTACATATACAGTGTTAGGGATGCACTGAGTCAGTATACTGACTATAGTATATGACAGTATACTATAGTGAATTGCTATTGACACTGACCTTATTAAATGGATTGAGTATTGGCCAGCTATGGCTGATCCAAATTCTATACTGTTTTTTTCCTACGTTTGTGATAAAATTGTAACGGCCAGGCACGTGCCCAGATAAGACACCAAGGGGTGCTTGAGCTCCAACCCAACAGTGCCCTCTATGTATAATAATTTTGTTTTTTATGGCCCCTGCCACTGTTCAAGATTCGTTTCAGTGAGGAATATTTGGCTTGTCCTGCAAATAGAACTAGTGGGTTCCATGAGCTTTAACTGGCCTCTTATGGAGATTTTGCCTCAGTCAGCTCTGATCTGTCACATATGTGTGCATCACCACAGTGTTGGAAATCTCATCAATAAGAAACAGCATCTTTAAGAAAACATGACATTCCACAATGGGGCAAAGAATCAGACTGCTTAAAGAAAGTTATAACTAACTTACCCATTTCTAACTGATAGATATCACAGTAGTTAACACCATTGCCCTATATGCTGAAGCTCCCCTTTCTGGCAGAAACATAGATATTTTAAGCTGTATTGGAAAGGACTCCGAACACTATATCTGCCATGCCCTGAAACATGATTAGATTGTCTCCACCATGCACCCAATTTGCATCAGGCCTGAAAAGTGCATTATCCTACTTTATCATACACTTGTTTCTTATCATGTGTCATTTATTTGTTTTTTATTCTTTTCTAGATAAGAAGTAATGTGTAGTTACAGCCTTTGTTTCCTTACACATAGAAGAATAATCCCCACTTACATACAGTGATATATTTTAAAATACTGGTATTGAGCGAGAAAAAGTATTATTAGTGCATTCCTAATTTATTGTTGTATAGTGTGACTACAATATCATTGTTTCAGACAAGAAAGAAACAGGGTTATATGCAATGCGAGATGTGAGATTGTAAGCAGTTCATTATCGTAAAAAACATACATGACATATTGATGATAAAGAATACTTCTGCTTAGAGATAGCCTCAGGGCATTTTTCTCCTCTGACATTCCCCTGGGAGCTTACAGTTCTCATGGGTTTTATTGATTTATCAGCAGTACACTGTTTATCCCCCCATCTCTCTCTCTCTCTCTCTCTCTCTCCCTCTCTCTCTCTCTCTCTCTCCCTCCCTCTCCCTCTCTTTTTTCTGGGACATTATTCTGCCCTTGATACACTGTGTGTGGTGTGCCCATAGGCACTGCTGCTTATTTCAGGGGGACGTTTTTTCACATTTTGACTCTGACTCTGCCCCTACCCAATCTGCTTTCCTCTCTACACCTGACTTCTTTCTTGTTTTTTTCTCCTTTTTCTTCCTCTTTCCTCTTTACATTCTGACCTCTCTCTCTGTGTGTTTCCTTCTTTCTCCGTGTGCCCCACAGAGAGCTGCACAGGCCAGGACCTGGCAGATTTGGGGGATCGCCTGCGGGACTGGTTCCAGCTGCTCCAGGGCAACGCCAAGCAGAACAGCACGAGCAAGCCTGCAGCCAGCTCTGCATCAAGTGAGGCCCCAGAGCTCTGGGCTGTCTGCTCAGCCAGTGCTTTCATGCTGAACAATGTCACACCAATGGGCTTTTGCACAGACTGCCTAAGCTGACAATTCACTGATGAAAAGCATACAACACAATTAGCATCTTATGTTAGGAACATGCTTACAAATTCACACTGTTTTCAAAGCATATAAATCATTCTGTTTGCGCCAAACCTAGTTGCTTAGGTGCTATGAGTATTACCTTTTAATCAACATCATCTTGTTTCAGCTGTGTTACTTTGAATATACCAATATCACAGATAAGGCTGTCAGTCAAAACAGCTTAAGTCTAATTGTTATTTTCTCCATTCAGTTTTGGACCGCACTCTTGTGGCAACCTGTAAGGACTCCATCGGATGGATGTTCTCAAAGCTGGACACTAACAGTGACCTTTATCTGGACCAGGCTGAGCTAGCCGCTATTAACTTGGACAAGTATGAAGTGTGCATCCGGCCTTTCTTCAACTCCTGTGATTCCTATCGTGATGGCAAGGTGTCCACAGCTGAGTGGTGCCTCTGCTTCTGGAGAGAAAGTAAGTCTCTCTGCAACCCTTTGCTTCTGTTTATAACTCTTGCTCACTCTCTTCTTATTTTTTTCTTTTTTTTACTTCCAGTTTACAGCACATAAACTGCAGTTTAAGGGGGTTATATTCAGTATTGTTTAACTGGACTTATACAGCATACTGTTTAGTAAGTTATGAGCTACACTTACAAAATGAACTGAGTTACTGTGGAACTTTTTGGAGCTAATTTTAACTGAGCCAATAAGTGCCAGGTTGCCTGTGCGGCTCTTGGCCCAGCAAGTGAGGGGCATGGCCCACACTGTGTTCAGCTCAACTCTGTGAGGGCGACAGAAGGGGGACACATGGCAGGGAAGCAGCGCCAGTACTGCTTACTGCTCTCATGGAGATACAACCCACTGGCTTTTAAGGTTGAGCAACTAATTATATTTGAGGAACATGTCTGAATTCCAGCAAATGTTTTGAGAACTCAAACACATTAGTGTACTTTAAAGCCTTATAACGAATTTTTGAATATAGTATGTTCAAAGCAACCACAGGATATGTTCTTGAGACTTCCCTTTTACATATCAGCATTACACAGAAAAATACCTCATTGAGCTTCAGTAAATTCATTCATTTTTACATGACCTCAAAGCTCAAATTCCTTTTTCTAATACACGTAATGATTTAGGAGCCAGTAAAGGTAGTTTTAAAACCATGTAATATAAACACAGCTCAGTGGACTATGACTAACTAACAGCTTGATCTTTAATTCTCCAAAAAAGTTTTTATTTTTTGTGATGACATACAACTCTCAACACCAAAAAAGTTGGGACAGTATATGAAGATTTAAAAAAGAAACTTTGACCTATTCTTTTGAACAAAAAGAAAACAAATACAAGATATCTATATCTATATTTTAATCTTATCAACTGCATTGGTTTTTGCAAATACACCTTCTAAAATTGATGCCTGCAACTAAAAAAGTTTGGTCAGATGCAAGTTAAGGCTATAAAGGCTGTAAAATGTTCAAAAGACACCTTGGGTACAACATGCTTGGGTATAAAAGAAGCAGTCCTAGTCCTTTATGGGTGAGGATGGGTGAGGCTCGCAACTTTTCCAAAAATGCATCAGAGAATAATCCAGTGGTTTAAGAACAATGTTCTGCAACACGCAATTGCAAAGATTTTAGGTATGTGTTCCTCTACTGTACATAATATCATCAGAAGATTCAGGAAATCTTAAGAAATCACTGTGTGGAAAGGGCAAGGCTGAAAACCACAACTGGATGCCCTTCGACACCGCAGGCACCACTACATTAAAAAACAGCTTGCTTGATATCACCACATGGACTTAGGAATACAAATATACACCATCCATTGCTACATCCACAAATGCAAGTTAAGATTGTACTATGCACAGTGAAAGGTCAACAAGATCCAGAAATGCCGCTTCTCTGGGCTCGACCTCATGCGAAATTAACTGATGCACAATGAAAATGTCTGTTGTTGTCTGACAAGTCAATCTTTCAGATTGCTTATGCAAAAAAAGTGAACATTGTGTTTTAAGGGCCAAAAAAGAAAAGGACCATCCATAAATTATCCATGTTACCAGTATAAAGTTCAAAGCCAGGGCTTGTGGTATGGGGTTGTGTTAGTGCCCGTGGCTTGGGTAACTTGCACATCTATGAAGGCATCATTAACACTGAAAGATATATACTCAATTTGGAAGAACATGCTGCCTTCTAGATGGCGTCTTTTTCAAGGACGTCCATGTTTATTCCAACATGACAACGGCAAAGCACATTCTGCAAAGTGCCACATTATGAAGTGCAACATACAATAGGGAAAGCCCCTTATGGTTGCACAGCTGAAGACCTGGCAAACAGTTCAGCTTTTAAATCTGAATCAATCAGCGTTTTCAGTCCCCAAATGATTATTAAGTGTTGATAAAAGAAAAGGTGACGTAACACAGTGATAAACACGCTCCTGTCTCAGCTAACAATAAAGACGCAGTACTGAGAGCAACATACCATCTATCTGCAAAGAGTCGTAAAGTTTCACTGGGTTTATCTCTTACATTGACAGAACTCATTCAGTCTGCACTGGATTAGGCTTAATTGGTTTTCTAAATATAATCAATATAACACTGAGAGAGGAATTGAAGCATATGAGGGATGTTTGGATTACAGTAATCCGAAGCTTTCATCTCCTTCAAACACACTCTGGCTAGAGAGCGAGGGATGAGGGGAGAGAGAGACACGCTCAGCGTTGACCTTGCCTGGTTTGTGGTGCGCAGGGAGAGCGATTTAATTTGTTTAAGCAGAGGAAAAAGAGCCATCCGTCCATTTCTACTGCCCATGTGTTGTGTTTCTGAGGGAATCTGTACTCACTGAAGATTACAGAGGCGTGTGTGACAGAGGATTTGTAAGTGTAAAGCGTGTGGGTGGTGGTTTGTTCAGTGATTTATTTTGTATGTATTAAAGTTTGTGAGCAATGCATTATATATATATATATTTTTTTTTTAGCACTACATGGGTCATATGCCTTTGGTGTATGAGTGTGTATAGTCTGCAGTAAATGAGTAGCACTTTTAATAGGTTTCTTTTCCTCTGTGTGTCTGTGTGGGCACGCCTGTGCCATGGAGCAGGCATATGTTCCGCCCTGCAACGCAAGAACGGCACAGAGCAAAATCTCAGCACCACACTCACACATTTATACCACACACACACACACACTAGACCAGCTTTGCTCTTGTTTTATGTGATTCTGGCCAAGCATTCTCATCTCTCCCGGGGAGGACGCAGTTGCTTTTGGCCTGTCACACTTTGTCTTTCCCTAGTATTCTCTCCGGCGGAGGAGAAGTGGCCATCACAGGGCAAAAACAACATCACTGTTGGTTGTTGACAGCCTGCTCAGCCTGGAACATTTTGGGACTCGAACCTGTCTGCAAGCCAGGCAGAAACTTGCCGCATGTTAAAGACCTGTCCCGCGTAGTCCTTGCATGTGCTCTGAATATTTGGCTTTTAATGCTGGGTGGGCTATCTAAGAATTTTACCGTTTTGTAAATAACTAATTTATTTAAAAGGTGATCTTAAAGAAAGTTTTCAATGGAACAGCATTAATACTAAAAATTAGATTTTAGGCATAAGTTTTTTACAAAATATTACTTTTTTCTATTTTATGACTTTTAATGCATTTGTTCTAATGCAGAATTTTTGCTACACATGCATACAATTAAGCGTAAGATACAGTATGTGACTATCACCATGTATTTTGTGTTTTACCATTTTATACGTTTCCATGAATAGAATATTATGACCTATCAATTCCTTTGTGAAACAGAATGTGTTGGAGCATGACCTGATAGAGCGGCTGCCGTGGGAGTTGCATGGCATAATGCTGGTTTGATCAGGGGCTGCTGGAGGAGCTGAGCGTTTGGCTGGAGGAGATTAACGCTGCTTCCTTCTAATGCTCTGATTGTTTTGTTCCTCAGAGCCTCCCTGCCTGGCTGAGCTAGAGAGGATCCAAATGCAGGAGGGAGCCAAGAAGAAGCTGGGTATGTATGAATGCTTGAGCTGTGTGTGGAGGGGGTGCAAACCCTCGAGAGCAGGAACCAGGTGGAGGGAGGGCAGTGAGCTCAAGTTAAAATGCACAGTAGAGAATCAAAACCAAGCAACGCTCCTTAGACAACAAATACTAAAGAGAGTAGGGGTAGAAAAAAACACTACCATGAAACATTGTGATACATTGACTTGAAGGGTGTGAATAATCTGTATTGATTTCAGAATGTTTTAATCAGTTATAATCAATAATAATCAGTAATTTGTGCAATTTTTTGCCAAAGTGTGAAACTCCAAAAAAGAGGCTTGGCATATTGTTTTATTATCTGTTTTCTATTACTGTGAAAACAGTTCCTTCGGTCACATTTGTATATTCATTGCATTTTTACAAATGTATTTTAAATTGCTTATCCACACATAATCAAAACATTGTGAGCTCAGAGAATTACACCCATACTAAAGAGTAAAATAGTACAATAAAAACAAAGAAAATAAACAAGAAAAAAAAGAAAAAAAATAAGATGAGAGTGAGCAAGAGTTATAAACAGAAGCAAAGGGTTGCAGAGAGACAAAGAGAGGTAAAAGTCAGGTGAAAGATGCACTGATCAAACATCAGAGGTGGTGCTAGAGGAGTTTCATTAAGCAGATGACAAGCACGAGGCTGGGATTAGCTGCTAATCAGGCGTGAGGATTAGAGTAGAGCGGAGCTGGCTGTTGGCCGTGGGCATCGCTGTATGTTTGGCTCTGCTGCCTGCAGGACTCTCCAAGGACATGCTGCAGATGCAGCGGCCAACCAGAGCCAGCCAAACGTGCACATGCCCCTGATGCCCTGCCACAAGCTGCCGTAATCACCATGGCGCAGAACCGTTGCTTTCTGAAACACAAATGATTCTTCGGCATGACCTTCAAAACCACCTCTGAATGCTTGGTGACACTGCATTGATGACAGTTTTTTCTTGTGTATTCATATATGCAGTGAGAATAGCACTTTATCACTGTATGCAGTCATTACATATAGTAATGAGATCCAAAGCCCTTTTCAAGGTTGTTCCTCACAGGCTGAAATGAAGGCTGTCATTCGGCTCTGCTACATGACTTATTGCGGGCAGTATGCGGACCGCTTTGCAATCTCACCCTTGGTGCAATGCTGATTGGGTACTTCTGATTCATGCAGGACATGAAATCGAATGTAAAACATGCATGTGAACTGAAAGCGTGTGCGTTTGTCATGGTAGGTACATTCATTCCCAGCTGTGATGAGGACGGCTATTACAGGAAGCTGCAGTGCGACCAAAGTAGGGGGGAGTGCTGGTGTGTAGACCAGCATGGAGGAGAGCTAATGGGCTCCAGAATCCATGGCAACCCTGACTGCGGTAAGTGCACAGACACACAAACACACATCTGCGCACACACGCAGATAGACAGACGCACACACACGCTCAGGAAGGACAAGGCCCCCTTTGTCGCGAGGGCTTAGATCCACAAAAACATCAGTCACCCCTCTGACAGAGGACCAAGTGTTACATTCATTAGGCCAGGTTCATTTCCATTCCAAAAGAGCAGTTGTCTTGCTGAAATAAAGGTCTGCAAGATTAATTACTATTGGCTGTGCCGGACCTGCAGGTGATAAGAACAAATCCCCCGACTGGACTTAAAATAGCCATTAAAAAGACCAATGTCAAAGCCAAAGCGCTTGTTTGTTGTACCCAAGCAGGCATTTGAGGTAACATTTAGCTTTAATTATGAGTAAATTGCTTGTTTTGCCTCCATGGAAGTTACATATCTATAGCGTAGTGTTTTGAGCTACTTTCTGACTCTCAACATATTTCTCTTCGAATGCCAAAGCCACAAAGCTTTATTGTCCCAGAGGAAAACTGTATTGCTCAAATGTTGATCTTTGATGGCACAGTGATTTCCTGAAATTCATAAAGAGAAATAAGATCAGACGAAAAGGAGATACTTCTGGTACAGATAAAAATATAGTTATTCACAGCATCACTGAGAAGGTTCCAAGTCTTGGATGAGAAATAGTTGAGCTCATATTGAGATTGCTGTCATAAGTCAGCTGCAGGTAGACATGAGCACTGTTATCCTGGTTACTCTGCACACAATTTGTGGTTCTATTGAGATCTAAAAATCAAGAGAAGACACATGCGAGATTAGTGGGGCCTTTTATTCAGGAGAAATATCTGAGCAGTAGGAGACTTCAGCAAAAGGCTTATTTGTCTTTCTGTCTGATCTCACTGTTGTCTAGGATGAACTACAGAGACATTAAGGAGATCTCTATTTATTTTTATTTATGGGGTTTGCCATAATCCAAGTAACCTAATTCACAGTTAGCAGTTGCTTTGCTGTAAATCACTCATTTTTAGTTCATGGGAGTTTTATATTTATACCATAGCATCAGACTTTTTTTTTTGATTGAAAGCCAAAGCAACACAGTTTATTTGTTGTTTATCATAACCCAACTAATCTGATTTTTCATTTAGCCTTTATCAAAAGGAAAATGCAAAGTTTTTAGTTGCTTTCCTGTCATTGTATATAAAAATGAACCCATGTTCATATGGGATATGGATTGCAACCAACTCTTTTCGAGAAATTCTCTGAAAGTTTTCGGTCTGGTCATTCTTGCTTTTTTTTCTGTTTCCAGATGAGCTGGCTGGCTACTCAGGTGATTTCGGCAGCGCGGTGGGCTGGGAGGACGAAGAGGAGAAAGAAACAGAAGACAATGGCGAGGAGGCTGAAGAAGAGGAGGGGGAGGTGGGGGAAGTGGATGATGGTGGATACATTTGGTAGACCAAAACAAAATGGCTGCCTGGTCAAATATAGCTTTCCTCTGACCGCTGGTTCAGAGACAGCTCCATCTCTTGCTGACACAAAATGGTGGAACCTGGAGGGTTGGACATCTTTATACTGCACTCCAAACAGCATTGACTTGGGGGGAGGGGTGGCTGGGTAATGATAGCTATAGTGACATTATGGGTTTGGGAAAGAGTTCCAATAATGGTCCTATAAATACTTGGGAAACATCTTTTTTTCTTTGTCATATGTGCAAGAGTACTCCTGGTAAAACGTCTATAGCATCAGCGATCACAAGCTCAAATCTAGAAGCTTGATAAATGGACAGATTTTTTTTCTTTTTAGATAAACTGGAGCTTTGCCCATGCTGTACAGTGTGCTTCACTTCATCTGTGACGTTGGACATGTTATGCAAGAAGCATAATAAATAAATACACACTTTTACCACTAGATATTTGGAAATGGTACATTTTAGCCTCAGAGTTTTCCAGTAGCCTACAGATTCATGTGATAAAACTGCAAGTGAAATGAGGTGGGCTATTACAAGCCTAATACATTACGTCAGATTCTTTGGATTTTCCATTTGTCATCAGTGTGTTCCATTAAGACCAACATTAGGTGGGGTCTGGTCACTTCAAACCATCTGTATGATCATTTCTTGGCCTTTGAAGTGCACATCAATTACAGGCTTAATTGTCCCCATGTAGCTACGCTGGTTAGAGCACAGCAGATATAGAGCTCACTACAATGACGGCCAAAAGCTAGTGCCAAAATTACCCTGGAAGCTACAGCCACATTTCTGCCGTCCTGGTAACCAACACATTATCTGGCCACCAACAGCCTCATCAATTCATAGGGCAGCACAAGAAATATTCTCTTATTTGTAAGTGGTCATTTTTATGTTGTTCAGCTTGCATTCATTTAGTAATCTGGGAAACTTCATAACGTGTTTTGTTTGTCACTGCAGATTTAAGGCCATTCTGTGAGTAGAGTTAAGTGGACACTGTTGCCTTATTTTCTCCCTAATACATTTCTATCATAACACAGTTATTTGATAGAAACATTTTTTTCAAGGCATTCTGGTGTACTTCATCAACTATAAATCCAACTGAAACTGGATATGCTAAAGCATTACATTTTATATCATATAAACATGTCCTTGTTCTCTTCTATGAAATGGAGTCGTCAATCTTTTAAAACACATTTTCCAGTCTCAGATTTCTGCCATAATGGAATCTGCTTAAACAAAAGTAGTTTAAGCTGAAATGATTTACCTCTGAGGCAACAGCATGTCACTATGAATACATGTATGAATAGCAGTGTGGAGAATAAGATTTGCAACCTGACAATACTCCCCCCTCAGACACCCAGAGGCATCAGTCTGTCTTCATATCTATCTGCTAATCAGATCCTCTCATCATCCATGGTGAAATATGATTCTGTGTAATGTTACTAGGTGTAAATATTTTTGCTGCAAGGGTTTATAGTCTTGGTTTACAGTGGAAAAACAATACATTCATATATCATACACTTGCAGTAAGACATTTTTAGTATAAACGCTGTTTCTGTGTTTCTGGGATAAAATGTCTTTATAGATTTTCAGGATGACTATGGTGTTAGCTCATTTAGCAAGAAATCATCATACCCGAGTGATTTCATGCATACAAAAATACCTGAGCCATTTGCAATAAACACGGTGCACTTATGCTCGCCCACTGAAACAATGATGCTATACTCAGACATGCCTTGTGAAAACACAGCTCTGAAGAATGCTTTTCTTGGTCTCTGCTCACCATGAAGGACATTAGCATTGCATGTATTACTTCATAGGCAGAGCTCAAATGAATATGAATTATAGATTTTATCTGGTATGGTAATACATTCAGATGGACCCAGACTGGAAGCTCTAAGTAGGACTGCAAGTATGCATCTCATTCGATGCCATTTTTATCTCGGAAATAAACACATTCAGCAGATAAACAGCAGATAACCTGTATTTGACAATGACATTATTTTCAGTAAGAACAAGTGATAAGGTATTAGTTTGCATTAAATGAAAGCTTAATCTTTATCCATATCACTGTAGCCTGACTGTGAGGATATAATTGTTTTTATGATGTCTTACTCAACAGTGTATAGGAGTGTGCCACCTGATGCTCTTCAATGTGGATTAGCCAGCATATGATTGCATTGACTATAAATACCATCATTGTAAATACTTGGATTATACAGATAAAGTGTATTTGCCCTGGCAGTTGCATTATATTTGCATTTAGATGCATGTTTTTTGTCCAAATGTCTTTTTTTGCCTCAGTATGATTATGATTAAAGGCACTGGGCCCAAGTACTGTATTCTCTCAGACTCGGAATCATTCACTGTGCCTAAACTTGAATCCAGGCAATGCTGAATGGCATGGAGGAAACACAAGTTAGCCATAACTCTCCCTGACTAATGGCTATTAGCTAGACAGATGTCAGAACTGGCAATGAACAATATTTATTGAGAAAATTGGTGAGGGGAAAACAATTCTGTTTTTTTGTTTTTTTTGGGTCTGTTTTTTTTATTTCTGACATTGGATACTAAGATAAAACTACTGGAAGAGAAAAAACCTTACTGGAAGAGAAAAAAATCAAGAAGAAAAAGAGAAAAATTGGGAAAAAAAACTTTTAATGAGGCATTGTTACAATGTGAGGACACATGAAACAGTGAAGATGTGCATGGAGAAATGTGACACAATGTCTCCACTTTACAGACTTTATTTTGATTTCCGGTCAAGACGATGAAAGGTCCAGTTAGCTAGACACAGACCTTGTCTGGAATAAATGGACCAGTGAGTCATCCACGACAGCAGTAATCAGTGCTTTGTCTTCAATCAGAGAGAAATGCCTATGGCAGCACAGCAGCAAGTCTTTTCAATCTAGCTTTTTTTCTACTTTAAACAGGCTTTCCCCATATTCACTTACTTTCATTCAAATGGCCACACCATCTCCTAAGGCAGAAGTAATATATGAGAATGATGTGCATGAATAAGCACATCTCTTAGGCACTTTAAATTCTCCGATGTTCTGCACCTATTTCATGGCTGATTTGATATCAACCAAGTGAAGCAATATGTTACAAGGAGAAACAAATGTATTTTAGGGGGCAAAATTTTTTTAAAAGCTTTTCATATGGTTTGTCATATAGTTGCAACTTCATTCACTGCGTCACACCTGTAACTCACTTATTACTGCCTAACTGCTTGTCACATGGTTGACTTTTAAAGATTCCTGGTTACAAAGAACTTCAGAGTCAACTTTATATCCCTTTGTCCCTTTTGAACACTGAAACAGTACACTTAATTTGGGAATGTAATATGTTATAACTATTCCTTGATACAATCTACACTGATTTTTCCTTTCTTATCAGAACAGAATTATTAGGAATTAGTCTCTTTACTAATCTGTCATCATCACTTTCAGTACCTATGGACAACAATCAAAACGTCCTCAAAATATCCTTTGTTTACTTAAAGCTATACAGAATAATCAACAGACTTTTCTATTTTTACAATAGACTGAACCGTCAGCACTCAAAAGTAGAGTAGTCTGTCTGTGAATGCTGTGGTGGGAATGTACTAATAGGCAAACAGTAAGGAAGGTGAACATTTGCACTTTCTATATGAATAAAAAGGAAATATTCACAGCTTACTTTGTGGAATCTGAAGTCTCCACACTCTCCTAATCTCATCCTCTACACTGTCCAAAACCTGAAATACAGAAGCATCTCCTGTCTGGGCGAAGCGGCCCAGTAGTGGCTCCAAAACAGAAAGAGGGATGCTGAAGTTTAAGTGAGGATACGTAACCTTTGCTGCAAAGTCTCTTGTATTGCTGGACACGATACCTGGACAAAAGCAAACAAAAGAAATATGACCGTACAGGCAGACAAACAGATAAAAAAAAATAAATAATTGACCTGTTTAAATCTTATAGGCAAAGTCAAAAACTGAATGCTTTTTCTAGACTTTACCTTTTTTCCAAATTTCATACTGGTTAAATGATGCCCCCTACTGAGTAAAGTCAGACAATACTGCACATTTAAAGTCATGTTGACGGTTAAAATGCTGGCATGGATTAAAACTTAACATAATATACTCAATAATATGCTGAACATGCTAAGCTTCTGAGAGTGTTTTACAGTCATGTAATGGACCTATTTTTGCTGCATGGATTGATCAGACTATAATCTGAAACGTTGCAAGTTACCTAGCAACTCCCCAGTGCTGGCACGGATAACAGCACCACCACTGGCTCCACACTGCACTGCACATGTGGTTTGAAGCATCACTGGCTTGTTTTTCTGGGTGATGACTCTGGAAATGATCCCTGAGGTCACTGATGGGCCACAGGTTTTACCTAATGCACCATAACCCAACACAACCACATCTTCACCTATAAACAGGCAGAAATAAGCAGATATTTTATGCTTAACAGCACTGCACAAGGTAATGTTACCTTGGTAGATGCTAATTAAACAGAATATTGTTATGAATAAAATAACTTAGATGTATTAGATTTAACAATAGTCTGTCCTTTACAACTGTGGTGTTACAGTTACAAAGGTTTTACAAATTTAGGTTTCAAACACAAGCTGGTGCAGGATTGTAAACCAAAGAACTAGCCTATAAAAATTATCGTTTCAAAATCAGAGCGCACCCTTCGTATCAGTTTGCCTGCAATGGTTTACATAAATTATGCAAGCTTACCCAGGTGATAACTGGTAGCTAATTGTGGCACCACAACATCTGAGTAGGGCTCCTGAAGCTGCACCACAGCTACATCATATGGAGAAGATGCCTTTGAAGAGTAGAGTACCCGACCAGTCACTGTCAGAAACCTGAGGAAAGACAGACATATCACACTGTGAAGATATTGTGCAGCTTAAAATTGTATTTTTCATGCCACAAAGTTGTTCCAATAGAAAGGATTCATGGGATTACCTTTCTCTGGCATTGACTCTGACTTGTAGAAATGTTTTTCCATTGACCACATGTCTGCAGGTTAAAACTGTATTTGGGTTTAGGAGTATTCCAGAACCCCACAGCTGGCCACTTTCAACCACAGCCACCATGGGGTACTTTTCATTGGCTGACCTTTGGTTTGCATTGGATGAGACTTGAGGGATGTCCATGAAAGCTGAGATTTCTCTCAGTGACTGATGAGAAGTTACAGCCTGTAGTATGTTTTTCAAAATTAAGTGGAAAGAACACACTAATGCCAGGCCAATCCATTCATTCGACTTCCAACACAGCGGTGAAGTGATAAGACCTACAAGATGCGGTGTTTCTCCATTACTGACAAATAGGCCTCCTCCTTCGGTGCCAGGCAGACAGCGGGCATCAGTCAAGATCAATGCATTCTCCTCCCCTGCCAAATTACTCACGATGCCTTTGCTAAGGGTACTCATGAAGAGATCTGGACAGAAGGAACCAAATGGAGAGCCACATGCAAGGACAGAATGGCCTTTTATAAGGGTTGTGCTCTTTACCCAAGGTACAGTATCACCTTGGGTACCTGTGGCCAGGCTAGGTATTCTGAGGACTGCAAACCAACTTAAAAAAATGGAGTCGAAGAGAATTTCAGTGTCCTCGTCACCACTATAGAAGTTCCACTTTTCTGCTTCAATGAATATTGACTGAAGAGCCTTGTGAAACTCCATGCAGTTCACCATCATTAGAAGCTCAGCATTTTGGGGTTGCCTTTGGTGTCCATTCTTTAGGCTCAGCTTGCTTGTGCCTTCGTCTGCTGTCATATCTGCATGATATATGGAAACTTGCATCTTGTTACTAAAGTTATTAGCATGCAGTACTGTTAGGTCTGGGCTTATGTATTCTTTGTAGTTTAAGAAAGGAGAAAACAGCAGACCGCTGCACAGCACAATCCCAGACTGCTCGTTCAAAATGACTCCGCTACAGCTCAGCGGGTTTCGCTGCTTCGGACTGCAGCTGCTCTCTGAAACAGTGACAACACAGCAAGTCCGCTCCACGGACATTTTTTCACTTGTAAACACGGCGCTCTCCACGGGAATACCAGACAATACCGACTCTGAGGTCTAGTCTGCCTCTGTTGTAGTTTGTAAGTCTATTGTGTTGGTCTCGTTAGAGCAGTTCTGACTCAGTACTAACATGGTGAGCTCAACTTTAGCCCCAGTGACAGTGACATGCTAGTGCAGCTATTCGTCTAAAATGACTGAACACAACCCGCCATTATAAACCCCAAAAGACCCAGAACAGTAAAAAGCAGTAAAAGACCCAGCAGGCGACATTCAGCACTCGAAAGCTTCAGCAGATTCGGTCTAGAGACTTCAGAACAGATTTAGACTGATCCGCATTTCAGGACAGAGCCGAAACTCTTTAGGCGCTGTTGTCACTGGTTTAGCGCGTCATAGTGTAGCTTGTATCCCATTGGCTACCCGGTATGACATTCTAGTATCACGTTTATTCATTGGACCAGAGCAGAGCGTGACCAAGAAAAGGCAAACTGCATATATGTGCGAAATTAAAACGTTTTCAACAAGAGGACAAATTTAATTCTCTTTTTAAAATCTTTCTGCCTAAATTTGTTATATTTCTTCCTACTGAAACATGAATGTCGTGTCTTTGTTTCATGGCTATACACACACACACACACACACACACAAACACACAATGTTGTTTGATCCTGCTTGTTTCTTCATGTTCACATTGAAACCTTGTAATCCTCAAAATTTGGTGTTGAATAATAATGAATTTTCATATTGAAATTTACTGTAGAAAAAAAGACCTAGGTTTTGTTGTTCCTTCTGCAAATTTGAATACTCTTAGACTAAACAATGCAAATTGTTAATACACTGGGCAACACACACACACAGAGAGAATATGTAGGGTGGATTCAGGTGTAATGGACAGTCTGTTACTTATATAATAATATATAGCCTATTAACAGTATCCTCTTGTTGCTTGTTTAAAAAGAATACGCTGGTTATCACCAGCTGAAATTGGAATACGTTTCTTAAAGTGTCCCCCACAGCCTCATGTGGCATAATCTATATATCTGCCGTGCAACTACTTTCAATACACTGTTCTTTAATTTATTTTTATTAATAAAAATAATTTATTATTATTTTTTAATGCCAGTGAATTAGTGTAGAGGTATTGTAAATGAAAAATGTAATAAAATTACATAGGATCTCATTTTGCTGTTCCTTTTGCAAAGTTGAATCCTTTAAGCCTTGCATTTATGCAAACCCACTATGTAAATGAACACACTGACAATCAGAAAAAAGCTGGTTTTTTCCACTTTGTAACGCTCAGAAAAACATAGAGAGTTACTCATGCAGGGCCATGCATATCGGACAGTGTGTTTTATGGTTGATTAAATAAATACACTAGCCAGTTTATTGCCCCTATGACCTGACATCCCATAACATTTGAATCTGCCCTACAATTAATTTCCAATACACTTTATTTTAATTTATTTAATACAATATACTGTAATGCAAAAGACTGGCAGAACAAAGAATAAAAACCATATAAGTAGAATCTAAAAGATATTTATTTTTGTCTCCACCAAAACATGCCATTAAAGCGGTGCCATTTGCAGCATAATTTTAAGTTTCAAGTGTAAGCAGTCAAAATCTTTTCACATATGTACAAATACTGCATATGAAAAGTGACTTATTAATATGACATTCTGTGTATTGCACATGAGCTCGTTCTCTGGAAGTTTGTCTTCAATTGTTTTCATGTACTCTCGTATCATTACTGCATGTAAATAATGATAGTCAAAAAGTACTCATTACTGCACAAATCAGGTAGTTTAACACTGAAAAACAAGCTGGGGTGGGGGAGATGGGGGTGCGCTGCATAATTTAAACTGCTGTACATACAATATTTAAAATATAAAAATGTTAACTACATGTAAAGGTCAAATAACAAAGCCTAAGTTTCAGTGTTAAACCTAAACTAAATGTTTATTTAAGCATGTATACAGCCTCATATATCCACAGGTAAGAGATAGAGCTGCTTCTTGTGAAGGAGTGAAAGACCAAAGTGATGCTACCATACTAACACACCACCAGCATTAAGGCACAGAGGTGATAAAATGTTGATAAAGTTAAAAATATATATGTAAGGCTATTTATTGCACTTCTTTCCACTGAAGCTTTTCTCTCCATATGACATGGATATCGCATGGCACAATTAATAATCATCTAGTCCCAACTGATAACACTGTTGCAAATAGATGAACATTAAGGCACAGTACTGTAATTCTAAGGCAGGCTATGTAACAGGCATTAAAGCTAAAAGCAAAAAAAGTCCTTAATGAGAATTATTTTGTTGTCTTCTCAAAATGATCCTGCTCTGTGAAATGCTACCATATATGCTATATTACTTCGTTCCTTGTATACAGAAGTGGAAACTACAAAAATCTGCATGCAAATTCATCTCATCACCACTAACCTTATGTGATAATAGACATTCTTGCAGTCTTAAGAAAAGAATATATTTAAGGCTCAGATCAAAAGCATTCATCACTAACATAACATTCATTTTTCATTGTGTTAAAATGGTTTGTACTCCTGAGTCAGAACATTTAATAAATAGGGGGAAGTGGATTTGGGGTATTAAATCGTTCAGTAACACTGATTCTTCTAATTAGTCAATGTATTGAGAAAGCCACCTGAAACCTTCCCCGTATCCTTGCCTCTTTAAAACGCTGCACATGAAAACTTCCATTGGCCTCAGGTTCAGTTCTTTCAGTGACACATTCCCCTAAGGCCAAACACAAAGACCGTTTAGAATTCTCACCAGTCGCTTCAAACAATTACAATCAGCAAATATTCATTTCAAATGAAAGTAAAGGATCCGATGCAAAAGGCAAGCTGGTTTTAGACACTACAGCAACAGAAAGAAAAACAGCCAGAACTATCACAACTAAACTGTAAAAAAAAATATATGTTTACTGGGCTCATCCTGGGAAGCAATTCCCAACTACAGATTTAAATTAGTTTATCATGTTTAAGAATCTCATATGGCTTATGAAATATTTATTTTATTACCTTTCCAGTAGTGTGTCCATTCAGACCAAACATCCCCCTCAGTGCATCTTCACTAATTGCCTCCGGTCGATCAATTTTATTTCCCAGAATGAGGATTGGCACATCAGAGATGGTCTCATCAGTTAAAAGAGCCTATAATTCAAGAAAATATCAGCCGTTTGCAGTTTTCGTACAAAGTAGGCTACACGTCTTGATCTTGCCTTGGACTAAAAAGGAGGAAGAATTCAGTCACTTAACAAATATTCAGCAGTTGTGTGAAACACAATTCAACTAAAGGCAAAGAACATAAATCATTAAGAATGTAAAAAAAAAAAGTAAGTAATAAATAAGATCTTACATCTAGTTCAATTTTAGCCTCAAGTAAACGCTCATGGTCAGCACAATCCACAAGGTAGACTATTCCGTTAATGGCTGGTAAGTAATTCTTCCAAACTCTTCTTGCTGTAGTTGAAAAATGAATATACATTTGCAGAATGTCAGCGAAAAATGACCCCAGTGACCCCACACAGTGAAAAGCTGTCCAATCATGCAGATAATAAATTACCCCACACAACACTCCGGACACTGATTTTAAAGGGCGTCTTTAAAATAACATCCTTTATGAAGCTTATATTAAGCATGCAATACAGTAATTCAGTGTCCCCTTAGCAGCGTGAAGTCTTCATTGCTGGATTTCTGTGTTTACCTTGTGCATGTCCACCCAGATCAAATGTTGTGAAAGTCATTCCCGCAATTGTCAACTCTTCTGAAGCTGATAGAAATGACACGACAGACATTCACCATAGAGATTAATAAATTACGACATTTACAAAGTCTTTCACCACATATTGCCCTGTGGTTCCTATCTGTGGGGCACCCAAAACCAATAAATACTTACTTGGATGAAGCGTGGGAACATGCTGTCCAAGTCTGTCATCTTTGAGCATATGGAGTAATGTTGTTTTTCCTGCATTGTCTAACCCAAGGAAAACCAGCTTCCCAGTCTTTTTGTACAGTCCTGAAAAAGAAAATGTATGTTTGCTTTTACTAAAGTGAATGAATCAGCACTATTATATATATATATATATATATATATATATATATATATATATATATATATATATATATATATATATGCACTGTCATTAATATTATTATTATAACATTACATTTTTATTTCATTATTCATAGTGGTTATAATTATTATGTTCGAGTACGGCTTTAAGCTTCTCTACCCACCTCTGGTCATATAATAGCACAATTCCAGTGGGAGAAAAGTCTGACTGATACATCAGTGATGATACTTTACCTAATATGTGTAAAACACCACTGAATCCTCTGTAGATCCAATCCCATATGAAAGACATTCCGCTGCGATTCTATGGCGAAACAATGTCAAACAAACAGATAAGCAGTGACTCAGTAATGAAGTGTTTTACTCAGTCCCAAGCCAACTTTATCAGGTTGCAGCTCTTATCTAAGTTAGTATACCTGAAAAGCCTACAGTATGTTTTAAAATGTACAGTACATCATAAGCGCTGAAGGTCCTAATATGCGTAAACGTACTATCACGTTTATGTTACCTTGGTGACAAAGCGCTTTAACCAAGTAAATCTAACGCGTGAGCAAGCCGCTAACAGCACTTTCACAAAGCTGCTAAAACTTTCTGCATGACTGCTGGATTATGGTCCACAATGCTCACGTGGTTCCGACACACTTTTTATTTTACAGAAAAAAACGGCTCTAGTATTTTCGTGTGTCCTACACGCAACTTTCACAACTATTTTTACGGACGGATACTGACACTCGCTACTTGACACCATGCAACCATGGCATACAGACACATCTGTCACTCAAATGACAGAGACTTTCTGACCACGAAGCCATTATGAAATGTAAAAGGCCCACTGTTAAACGACCGAACTACATTTGGGCTGGGTCTGTACTGTGGTAACCTCCTTTAAACATTTTACACTGAACTATCAGATAGCTGGAGGTTCTGTTGAACGTCAAGCTGTTCGACTAAACTAACGTCACACCGAGCAGTAAAAGTCAGTATCGTTAAAGAAGAGTATTCGCCTCAACATCCCAGGTTTTTTTTTAAAAAAGAAGGGAATCTAGCAGAATGCTGTGTTCAGCGGGACTCATAGATATCTTAGTTGTTTACTTTTATAAATTCTTTGGAAGTAACAAAGAACAGAAAGTATTCCTCCATTTCTCCTCTACTGGAAATGTCGTTACACCTCACAACAATCATTCCATTATTTTATACGAGTCGTAATCTATAGAATTTGGGGTAAATTTAAATTAAATTAAAATTTTTGAACTTAAAATATCCTTTAACACAACCCACCTCTTTGTCTCTTTGGGTCGCCCGTCAGCTTCTTCGTCGAAAATTGACGCTTCGAAGGAATTGCTGAGGTACTTAGTGGCTTTACCGTGCTTGCTATAACGAACTCCAATAGGGGGTGTGATCAACAGTAGAGAATCTCTAACTTAAAGCTGCAGGTAAACAAAACGCTTGTGCCGGACAGCCACGTATAGTAGCACTAGTGAGGGAGAAGCTGTGAACAGCGCCCTCTTGTTGTGGAGAGTTAAATTGCTGTGGAAAGCAGGAGAAGACTGTGTGGTTGAGCTACTGCACCATCTGCAGTTCTACTGCTGAAAAAAACCATCACGTTCTACACACTTTCTTCAATGCCTGCAATGCAGGTTTCAAGTACTTCAATGTATTGAAATTGTAAAATGACAACAGTATATTAATTGTAAGAATACAATACAAACAGAAAGAAAGCAACAGAAAAATGTCATAACAGAAGACTTTATTAAATCAATCATACAGTACCTGAGTTTGACCAGACTGTTGAGTTCTCTGTTACACAGTATACAGTATCTAATGACACCTTGATTAAATAATTGAAAAATAAATTTAGCAAGACGTTAACTTCTCACAGCTATCATGACACTTTCTAGACCCTGTAAATTACCCATCTGTCCCTACACATACATACTCTAAATAGATGAGATCAGACTGGTCCATGGTGTATTGTTCTTCCATCACTTCTCATAATAAAACCATTTGTCAACTGAAAAAGAAGACAGAAAATTAAGGTTAAGTAACTGCATTTAAAGCTGTCCAACATTTCTTTGTACTAGGAGGCAAACAGCTTTATTGAGAAATTAAAAATCCATGTATGCAAAATGTCATAAGCGAGCATTAGGTTAACTGCTGGCTAGAAGCTGCCTTTTGCCCCATTTTCAGCCTGCGCTTTTGAGGAATGCTGGAGACTCATTGGTTCAGAGATGCAGCACTACCTTCAGGACAAAAACAGCACTAGGCAACTTTAAACTAGTTTTAATACCTGAAAAACTTGCCATGCAAGAATATACCGCAGGTTGTTTGGGAGGAAAACTATGTAAGCACAATCACCAAAAATTTAAAGACTCCTATTATAAATGAGTGTGAGTGAGATTCTTAATGGTATAAGCATCTTTCCTAGCTGACAGCTATTTCTGCCAAAGGAGACGTTAGAATGCAGTGAAAGAGCAAAACAAAGAAAGCTAGCAAGAAGTAAGCAAGCAAACAATCCAATACACACAATTAAAAAGGCCTGCATACCTGAGTCTGGAATGGATCCTGCATCTCCCAAAGGAGAAGTCTGGAAGTGTGGGAAAAAAACAGAAAAAGAATGAACCTTTTGTGCAATCAAACCTGATACGAAGACCCAAAGTCTAGTGTAGTGCAAACACCTAGACCGAAGCCTGGAAAACATTTAGCTCTCTACAATCAACATCAATATCCCAGTTCACATTCAAAGATAGTTTTATTGGCATGACTGTTTCAAGTACAGTATTGCAGAATTACAGTGGCAATAACAACAACAACTATACTGACAATAATAACAATATTAATAACTAATTATAATAATTAGTATTATTCTAATTGTTAGCAAACCATGCATACAGTCACATGCAAAAGTTTAGGCAGCCCTGGGAAAATTACGTGATTTTGTTGAGTGAATATAAGTACATATCTTCTACAGAGAACACACTTCTGCACATTTTAATGCACAATCACTGTTTATGTGCTGAATTCAACATTTTGGAAACCCTTGAAGAACCATTTTTTTAAGGGGATCAGTAGGATTGGAGTTAGGAGTGTGTTACCCACTAGATATCTCAGGCAGTCAGACATGTTACATATTTAGCAGCGAGAGGAGTTGTGTGCTCCTCTCCAAAAATACTGTCATTTTTCAACTTGTGTTAGTTTTTAAAAATTCTGGATCTTTTGTGCTTCTCTTTCTCAACCCCATCTGTCATACAGTGAACACAGTCATTCCTCTCTAAGCAGTCAGGATTTTCTATATTTACCTTTTTCTATGGTCAGACTGTGGCCACTGAACCTGTACTCGGTCAGGATCTGTCTCTGCTTTGGATCTCGGACAGTCAGGAGATTCTCTTACAATTCATAACCTGTTTTGAAGGCCTGATAGCATTTTAGTCTACTTCAAGTTTTAATTTCATTTGTCCAGTGTTTCAAATTATTATTCTTACTGTTTCGATGATTTGAGTAATGTTTAGTTTAGGCTGTAAAGCAGTGCTGGAGTGAGGCTACTGTACGTCAGCTGTTAGAGGGTTAGTAAGCCTCAGAAGCAGCTTTTTTCCACTGGCTCATCTTTGACATGAATTAAATTTACAGTCACAACATTTTTAATATTTCACTGTGGAATATTTTCTTCCCTTTTCTTCTTTTATTGCAAGCCCTGATCAAGACAACAATGACACTGTTAGACATATGTTAGATAATTCAGTCACCACTGCCTGTAAAATACAAAAAAACTCTGTTCTTCAGTGACAGTGACTTCAAATGACTGTCAGTAGGTCTAGCTGAAATGACAGGGCTTGTATGCAGAGTTATACTCCTGCACTTTGGATTTGAAATGATGCAATGACTTATGTTTACAATGCATAAAGTAAAGCCTGTCACCTTGACTTTAATTCAAAAGTAGGTTATTCGTAGAGAAATTTCTTGAACATTTGATATGTGCTGAATAAAGCTTCTGATTGTATAAGTCACAAAAGCTACTGGATACAATTTCAGTTAGGAAGTCATGTTGCATATCGTTTGTGTGCAAGACATCCTGAAGTTTGTAATACATATGCATCAGCAAACTCTTGATCTGTACTACCTCAGATTTCTTCTGCAAAATCTTTCTAGGTTTCAGGCTGGAAACTGGCAAGTCCAGAATCTCAATAGGCCTCTAAGCAGATTCCACATGCAGAAGACAAGAATGAAGAAACTATTTACATCTTACTTCTTGGTCCTAAAACATCCTCACTCACAACAGGCTCCTTTCAAATAAACTGCACTCAAGAAATGAGGTTTTTAATAAGTGCTTAAGCTTTGCATGTGTGGTGTACTCTCAGAGATATGAAGTTTTGAGAGCTTTTCTTCACTACTGAGTTCTTGGTGAGCCACTTTGTGACTAGGTTTACACATTTACTTGTTTTGGTAATTAATAGGGGTTTCTTTAATTTTCACATGCTCTACATTTTATCTGTTTTTCTGTTGGATATCAGGATGAAGTATGTCAATTACACCAGCACTTAATTTTTGTTGTCAGCCAACAACAACAACAGTCACTGTGTAATTTGAAGCGCTGGGGTGTCACAAATAAGACCATATCTAATGAAAGACATCCACATGCATACCTGAGAATTAAAAGAGTTCAACAGAACAAAAAAAAAGCAAAGAGGAAAAAAGTCCTTACACTATCAACGACTGCTTTGGCTTCCTCCGGTGAGAAGCAGAACGGAGTGCCTGCCTTCGATACACAAGTGTTTTTACTGCACAGACAGACAAATTAGGGGAAAATTAGCACATGGGGGGAAAAACAGATCTGTAGTCATCATTCATGAGTCAGTTATTTGTCACATCACTGGGGCTCAACACCATCTGTCACAATCCTAATAATAATACATCTGATGTCAAGAAAAATTAATTAAGTCATACAATGTGTCTTACTGATAGAGCTTAGAGTCTAACTAAGCACTGCACACATGCAGTACACCATTTTACAGTAGGGTTCTGCCACTTTTTTGGCTCCAAAACATCTTCCAGACCATTTTTTCCATTATATTTCTTTTATTTTTTTAATGTTACAGATGGACTAAGCTAGAAAAAAAAGAGTAAATAAACAAAGCACTCATGTGGCACGTTATCATGCAGTAGCCACCAGTGTACATAACAAATGTAACTAATAACAGCGCAGTGACAAAAGCTGGTACTACTAACATATGAACAAAAATCATTCTGATTTACAGACTGTATTCACTGTTCTAGTACCCCAGAGAATGACTACATCAGAGGGATGCTGAGACATTTGTAATCCGGTTTCCAGACAGCAGATCACCAGGTTGACTGGAAGTTAATTGAATTGTTGATGTAACTCAAGGGCACCCAAATGTAGTCCTGGTGATCTGCTGTCCTTCAGCTTCAACAAACCTGGCTCTAATATTCAGATGAAAATCCAAAAACTGCATTTAAAGTCTGGATTTTAAGGTGCCTGAACCTCTGATGTTGATCTTAAGTCACGTTAACGGTCTTTATGACACAATGTTTTGATAGATACCTAGTATATGTCATAGCTCAATGCACTATACAGCCTCAGGACTGATGTACAGATTGGACACTGTAAACGACAAGTGGACAGTGTGGAAGCAAGTCAATAACTAGGCCTGTGTTTTCAGAACATGGACAGTGGCCCACATATAAATAAATCAAGGCTAGGGACTGCTGTTTGTCTTCATATCTCTGATGAAATATCTAAATTTACAAGAAGTCTATTGCTTTGTATACTTGGAGCTTCCGAACAAGTACTCAAAAACCTGCTCTCACAGCCACCCTTAAAAACAATATTTATGTTTCATAATTAATCACAATTTTATGCATGTTCATTACTGCACTTGAGAATTTACTCAGGAGGCAGCAACGATGTATTAATATTGTATACAGTTTATAGTGCAAATGAAATCAGACATGGTGTAAGGCATGTAGAATCCCAAGTTAGTCATATCTCTAAATCTCATAAATCTCTTCTTTCAATTTTGCACTGAGCATTTTCATATTCAAATAAATTCTTACATTATATAGATTTTTCTCTTTATGAACATATTTGAAAGCAAACTTCCATATTTTCTAGCTACACAGAAAGCAAGACAAAGCAGTCTAAAGGGCTTACCAGTTCAGCCCTCCTGCATTGCTCTGTTGTGAGATAAGTGCTTTCCAGAACTCATGGGTGCTTTTGATAGTCTTAATGGCAAAGTCCTGTAAACAAGCAAATAAATAAATAACTTTGCTGATAAGTACAAATGCACAAACAGATATGAAGAGTTTAGACAGAACATCAGTTTTAGATTGCGTTGAGAAGGTACAAGTTAATTTATACCTGAATGGGAATCAGTAAACAGTATGACTGGATAATGTTCACTGGTGTCAGCCATTTAAAAAAAATTAGATCATCAGTGTACTGCATAGACTTTAACACATTTTAGGTCTCACTC